CCCCAAAACCCCAAAACCCCAAAACCCCAAAACCCCTCATTTCTATAAATTATTGAGTAAAATGGCTGAGTCGCTCATGCGTGGAGTTTACTTTGGACCTGAAGAAATAGATCCTCCTAGCGAGGAAGAAGACAGGTAAGCGACATCAATCTTAAACTCTAGTTCTAATGTGGTCTATTTTGATTCATCAATCAGGAAGATACATATAAATGCTGAGAAGGAAAATGAATTTAGTAAGGAAACTTCAAAATCCACGACCAATCTTGGAGCCCACTTCAGACTTGATTTATACCTTATATAGACTACTTCAAAATTCAAGAATGGGAAGGAATCAGGTAATTTTCTGATGATTTTTAGGTCCATTCTGGCCAACGCAAGGAAGCAACTCAAGTGCACGGGAGAGAATTGAAAGGAACTCACTCATAAGAAAATTGCTGATGTCAGCACAGGAGGTGACAAGTAAGAGTCGTCTAATATATTTTAGAGCTGAATACTACTGAAATGATTGTTTCCGAATATTTGATAACAGAGTAAGCGTTTTTCAAGATTTTTATACCTTATATTAACCTCATTAATTATAAACCCATTGAAGGTAGTCTCTTTCCTTAAAATCATTGGACGAAAATAGGCAAGATACTGACAATTTCTTACTACTACTCTTGCCGGGAGACAAGCTGTAACCCCTTGGAAATGAGCTTCTAAACACTCAGACTTTTCTCCATTAATATAAGGCATATACTTCTGGTCTAACCTGAAATATAGTTTGGGAGCACCAACTTGGTTATTGGAGAGGGTAAATTTAGCTGTAACCCATATAGAACTGGACAAGTTATATGAAGCATTATTAGGCCTAAAGGAGTACCAAAAAGCCCACTATAACTCTCTTGCCTACTCAGAGTCTATCATCGGTGAACCCAGGGGAAAGAGCAGAACTGAGTATAAAGATGCCTTTGAAATGTAAATAGAGTTGCTTACTTCTTTTAGGTGCCAAAAATTACAGGAAGAAATTATCGGTTATTGTGACCAAGGGTTTCACAAATTACTCAAGTATGTCTTCAAGGTCTTTACAGTCTGGATAACCTCATTGTAGGAATCTTAAGAGAATCCATTCTAAAATCGCATTTATTAAGAAAAAGATAGGTATGAATTCACAGTGATATTGTAGATGACCAAGTCGAGAAAATAGGAGAGCAAGTTGCTTATAAACTTAGTGAGATCATTGTAAGAAGATCGCTATGACCCTCTAGATTCCTAAGGATAATAAAATCTATGACAAAGATGGATGCCTGGCCACGAAGGTAAGAAGATTTGTGCATTGGAATTAATTCAAATTTCATATAGATCTTTTACACAAAGCTAGGTTTAGAAAGCGAAACGGAAAAGTAACCATATTTCTTTGACCTCTAGGTACGAGAAGAAGCTAGAGAAAAGTGCCCAGGACCAATTTGAGAAAGAGCAAAAGGATGAAGGGGCTGCTAAGCATTTGATAAATAAACACACCCCTTATTGATATGAGTACCATGACCAGTTTTTCAAGCGTGAAGAGGACTTCGGAACAGGTGAGATATAACCCATTTTACATTTCATTAAGGTCATTTCTGTGATTATTTATCTTTACTAAAGATGCCTTGAAATACATCCAATTTGGCGCACAAGGAAGATCAAATTTTCTTCAGGAACATCATCTCGTCCAAATAGATTTCGGGCAACTCAGGAGTAAATTTCCTGATCATTTCTTGCAAGTAAAATTGCCAGTTCTCAGAGGTCTTACTATAATGGGAGTGGAGAAGTTTGAATCTGAAGTAGCATTTGCACACAAAATCAAAGTATTCTTCAAGAAAATAATGCCTGATTTCCTTGATATCCTCGATCTGAGGGGAAGCGTCTACAAAAATGCAGAGTTTATTGACCATAATGTGGACCAACTGTGAAAGCTTATCAAAAGAGGACGTATTAGAAAGCACTTGCAGCTAGAACATTTCAAAATGAAGGATGAACAGTTCAATAAGATAATCAATAGTTGTGCTAATAAACTCGAAACAGTCATTTTCATGAACAACAAGATATACAGACCAACACCCAAGCCTGATAGTGATGAAGAGGAAAAGTATGAAGAACTTAAAGATGACTTATTCGATGAAGATGAGGAAGAGGAAGAGAAGAAGGAAGAAAGCGTCTATCTGGAGCCAGAAATCAACCTAGAACCCCTTACCAAATCCTATGTCCTTTCCACTCTCACTTTGAAGAACAATAATTGGAGTAGAAAGCTTGTAGAGAGTGCCAATATGCTATTCCCTGGCAAATTCAGAGAGAAAAGAAAGATCGCGATTGAATAATAACAGTGTAAACTCATCATGATTAATTCTCAAAAAGAATAATAATTTTCAACCAATATTATCAGGATTGGGGTTTTGGGGTTTTGGGGTTTTGGGGTTTTGGGG